AACTCTGTGTGTGTGTGTGTGTGTGTGTATGTGCATGTTTCTTGTGTCCATATCTGTGTGTGAGTGTCTAATGTGTGTAAATCTGTATGGTGAGTGTGTGTGTGTGATTGTGTGTGTCAGTATGTCTATGTTTGCGTGTGCGTTACTGTAAGTCAGCTTGTCTGTGAGTGTCCATGTGTCTGTGTGTGTGAGTGTGTACGAGTCTGTCTGAATGTGAGTGTGTATCTGTATGCGAGTGCGTGAGAATGTATGTCAGTGTGTGTGGCTGTGAGTGTGTCACTGTGTGTCTGTGTGTATGTTTTTGTGAGTGAATGCTTGTGTGTGAGTGTGCGTATATCTGTAGGAGTATCTGTAAATCTGAATGAGCATGTCACGTGTGTGTGTGTGTGTGTGTGTGTGTATACCTTTCTTTCTGTGTGCATGTGTCTGCATCTCTCTCTGTGTGTATGCATGTGTGCACATGTCTTTCGTTGTGTGTATGACTCTGTGATTGAGCGTGTGCTTGTGTGGTAGTGTGAGTATATCTGTGTGAAAGATTCAAGTGTGTGTAAATCTGTATGCTAGAGTGTGTGTTTGCATCTCTCTCTGCATGTCTCTGTGTATCTCTCTGCGAGTGAGTGTGTGCTTGTGTGGGAGTGTGCGTATATCTGTGTGTGAGTGTCTAATGTGTGTAAATCTGTATGGTGTGTGTGTGTGTGTGTGTGATTGTGTGTGTCAGTCTGTCTATGTTTGCGTGTGCGTTACTGTAAGTCAGCTTGTCTGTGAGTGTCCATGTGTCTGTGTGTGTGAGTGTGTACGAGTCTGTCTGAATGTGAGTGTGTATCTGTATGTTAGAGTGTGTGTTTGCATCTCTCTCTGCATGTCTCTGTGTATGAGTGCATCTCTCTCTCTCTGTGTATCTCTCTGCGAGTGAGTGTGTGCTTGTGAGGGAGTGTGCGTATATCTGTGTGTGAGTGTCTAGTGTGTATAAATCTGTATGCTGAGTGTGTGTGTGTGTAACTGTGAGTGTAGACATGTCTGTCTGTGAGAGTGTGTCTGTGCGTCACTGTGTCTGCGTATTTGTGCGAGTGTGTGTTTATTTGTATGTCTTTGTTACAAATGTGTATAACGAGAGAATGTACAGCATAAAAACCAATACACTTGTGGCATGTCCCCAAAAGTGTGTGTATGTTGATGTTTGCATGTGTGTGTATAAGTCTCTGTGTGTCTATGTGTGCTTATTTACTTCCGCAATTTCTGTTTAACAGAGAGCAGATTTCTTCAGCACATTTCTAATCATAACAGTTTTAATAACTCATCTCTAATAACTGATTTATTTTATCTTTGCCATGAAGACAGTAAATAATATTAGACTAGATATTCTTCAAGACACTTCTATACAGCTTAAAGTGACATTTAAAGATGTAACTAGGAGGGATCTTAACATTAACATAGACATAAAAGAAGATATTTGGTCAACAATTTTACAAAAGGTCCATACATCATCTGTATGTGCTCGCCATGGGATTCTACAGTGCAAAGTAGTTCACAGAGTTCACTGGTCTAAGTGTAAACTGGCTCGCATGTTCCCTGCTATTGATCCAACCTGTGACAAATGTCATGCTGAACATGCAAATCTAGTTCACATGTTTTGGACCTGTCCGGCTTTGTTTCCTTTTTGGGAGTCCGTTTTCGATTCATTTTCAGCAATTACATCTATTAATATTGATCCTTCTCCGTTAATTGGCCTGTTTGGAGTTCTTCCCCCTGACTGTGAGTTACCATTTTATTTTTCTGAATTAATAGCTTTTCTGTCATTATTAGCTAGGCGGTGCATTTTGTTGCAGTGGAAGTCTCCTCAACCCCCATCCCATACTCAGTGGATTAAAGATGCCTTATTTTTTGTTAAATTAGAAAAAAATTAAACATAGTCTTCGAGGTTCAGTGGTCAAATTTTCTAATATTTGGTTGCCTTTTTTGGAACATGTCAAATCTCTGAGACTTGAGGCAATTACTGTGGAGTGAATGGTTGCCATTCTTGCATTTTTATTTTGATCTGTGCTTCCAGTTGAGTATTAGTGCTGGTGATATAGCACGAACATACAACTTTTTCTTGACATAAAACCACAAGTTAAGAATGTGCCACACCCGAGCCTATTTAGTTTAATACATTTTCCCTTTTCTCTCGCTTTTTTAAAAATTTCTTTTCTATTTTTTTCTATTTGTTTATTTTATTATTACTGTTTATTTTACTTAATACACCATGCTGTCAACCTCAACGTCTGGTACAGACCTGTTTATATGATCAATTTGAAAATTGATTTATGCACATTATATAGTGTTTATGCATGTCATATACTGTGTGTCGCACAATATGAGGGTTATAGTGTGGTTTATTTATTTATTTATTTTTTATCAATGTTGTACTGTTATATATATATATTTTTTTTTCTGTTTGTACTGTTATTGTCTCTTTTTACTTTGTTAACTGTCAAAAAAATCTAATAAATAAATCTTAAAAAAAAAAAAGATTTAACTAGGTTAATTAGGTTAACTATGCAGGTTAGAGTACTTAGGCAAGTTACTGTATAACAATAGTTTGTCATGTAGACTATCGAAACAAAATATAGCTTAAGGGGACTAATAATATTGACCTTAAAATGGTGTTTAAAAAAATAAAAATTAATAAAACAAATAAGACTTTCTCCAGAAGAAAAAATATTATCAGACATGCTGTGAAAGTTTCCTAAATCTGTTAAACAAAGGGGGGCTAATAATTCTGACTTCAACTGTATGTCTCTCTCTCTCTCTGTGTGTTTGCGTGTATGTGTGTGTACCTGTCTCGAACAGCCTGCAGGGCGACTCGTGGAGGTTTTGAGCGGAAAGGCAATGGTAGAAACTGCAAGCCGAGGTCAGACCGGTCGCCCTCTCCACGCACAGACGCAGAGTCTTCGGGAGAGCAGAAACAGAGATGAAAATACAGAAAAGACGCAGAGAAAAGCACAGAATGTTGCATGATAAAAGATGAATGACAAAACCGGATAAAGCAGAGAAATGATTAAACTGCTGCTCGCTCATGTTTTGAAGGTATTTTATTGCACAATATTTGACACAACACACTCACTCACAAACAAATACTGCTGTAAAACGACTTAAAACACATCATCCAAAAGCCCTAAAGGATATTGTGAGTTATAATCAGGCATTAACGAACAGCAATATATGGAAACAAAATAACGATCTATTAATGTTAGTTGATGTATTTATTAGCAATAACAAACTATGAACAATACATATATTGCAGTATTTATTCAGCATTGTTAAAGCAAGTAAATGAAAATCAAGCCCTTCATTATTAGTTCATGTCAACTCATTTACTGTGCATTAATTGATGTTAACAAGCAATTTAAATGTGCATTCGTAATTGTTTGATTAATGAATGCTGCATAAATATTGTTCATTATCAGTTCATGATGGTAAATACATGAATTAACATTAACTAAATTATTATTTTAAAGTGTTCCCAATATCTGTCACTTGGTTTTTATTTTGGTTGAAAGCTCCGCACAAAGTAAAATCTCATCGATCCACATGATGATGAGCATTAAAACTTTATTAAATATGAAATAATACTGATTTCTTTCTGATTGCAGTTTGGTTCAATAAATGGAATTTATTTGCGCACGTTATTTGTAAGGTAAAAATAAGCCTATCAAAATATATGCCTTGCTTCTTTATGACTAATGTTGCAAATCCTATATTAAATAAAATCCAAAATAAAAATAAGGTAAAATAAGAAATCCATTATTATGTTCTTTAAAGGAACGCTTCACCTTTTTTTTTGAAAAGTTATACAGTTGACTTGAACCATTTTTAATACTTTCAGCCGATTTCTTGTTCTTTTAGCTTAGCTTAGCATAATGACTTGAATCGGATTAGACCATTAGCATTTTGTTTAAAATTTTCAAAGAAAAGTTTTCATAATGGGCGGCACGGTGGTTAGCACTGTCGCCTCACAGTAAGAAGGTGGCTGGTTCGAGTCCCGGCTAGGTCAGTTAGCAGTTGACCCCCGTGTTGGCATGGGTTTCCTCCGGGTGCTCCGGTTTTCACCACACAAACACTATAGGTGAACTGGAAAAACTAAACTGGCCATAGTGTATGAGTGTGTGTGTGTGTGTGTGTGTGTGTATACGTGTTTTTGTGACATATCAGGACACAAATCTGTATAATGACATGGGTATGACACAGGTATTACAAAAAGGAGGTGAAATATGAGGACATTGGTGACGTCCTCATTTCTCAAAATGCTTATAAATCCCACAGACTGAGTTTAATCAGAGAGTAAAGCTGCACACAGTCTCCTGTGATGGTTGGGTTTAGGGGTGGGGTGGGGTGAGGGCAATATAATATACAGATTGGACAGTAAAAAAATGAATGGAAACCTATGTAATGTCCCCACTTTTCACAAAAACAAATGCGCGTGTGAGTGTGTGTGTGTGTGTGTGTGTGTGTGTGTGTGTGTGTGTGTGTGGAAAATGTGAGAATGCAAGAGTGTATGGGGGTTAGGCTCATAGGCCATCCGCTGAGCAAACATATGCTGGAATAGCTGGCGGTTCATTCCGCTGTGGCGACCCCTGATAAATAAGGGACTAAGATGAAGAAAAATGAATGAATAAATGAGTTTTAATAATTGTCCCTTTTAAAGCTCGAGTCTTCTGTAGTTAAATCATGTAATAAAACTGACGGAAAAGGTAAAATTACTATTTTCTAGGCCATTGTTGCTAGGAAGTATACCCTCGTTCTGGCGTAATAGTCAAGAAATGCTGTTGCTGTACTATCCCTTCACCAGCCGGAGTGATATTACACAATTCAGGAGATCCAGTGGTTTCAGAGGGCACCTTGAATCCATGGAGACTTTGAACCTTTTTCATAAAAAGGTGGAGTGTTCCTTTAATATTGTGATTAAATCTGGATAACTGAATCAACTTAGATAAATGTTCACATTTTAACACGCGTTAGTGCTGTTCTGTGCATTTTTATGCCCTCTTTAATTAAAAAAATCCCTTTCTGTTCACTAGTGAAATATAAATCAAGTACTTCCTGTATAAAACTCAAGACTGAGAGAGCCGAACTCTTCTACTTCCCCTTTAGTTTGTAAGTCTCTCTCAGTCTCACCGTTGTCCACCTGCTCCTCCTCGGTGAAGCTGAACTCCTTCAACCGCTCCTCCTCGAACATTGATTGGTTGGCGAGAGAGCTGGCGTCATCGTCTGATTGGCTGCCTCTTCGGCTGATCACGCGGTAGATGCCGCAGTCCAGAACATTAAAGCTCTCCTGTGCAGAGCAGAGAGAGTCAGTTAGCACTTTGAAAAGATATACACAGAACAGTGCAAAAGGCCCACAGTAATATTAGTTGTTTTAATGAGGGTATAAATGGCATTATACATTACTTTTCATTCTATTTATTAAAAACAACCAGAAAGTACAGATTCTAGTTGGATTTTTTGGGTCTAATTGTTTAAGACATATGTAAAAAAAAAAGAGCTAGAGAGAGATGGAAAAATGAGTGAAAAATACTGGAGTTGCTTTCTTGGTTAGATCTGCCTTTCTGATAGAGCCGTTGTTAATATTGCCCGAAATAATGAGATTGTATATGCTGAAAAGCACAGACAGGTTTTAATTCGTTGTGTGATTTCTACCTACAAAGCACCAGTGGTGTAAAGTACTTAAGTAAATGGACTTTGTTACTTTACTTGAGTATTTTTTTGGCTACTTTGTACTTGTACTGAGTATTAAAAATATATGCAACTTTTACTCTCTACTTAACTACATTTTTGATTGAATACATGTAGTCTTTACTCCACTACATTTGAACGGACGCTTATAGTTACTCGTTACATTGTGATTGTGCGAGACAAGTCGGCACTGATGATTATCTATGGCCTTATCTGAAAGAAATGTTTTCATTTGCCGATATGCAGAATGGCTCTTACAGGATGCAGTGTCTACTTTGTTCGCCACGAAAATAAGTGCTTTTAAGAATTTATCGTAATTTAAGTTTGAGAAAACACTTTGAAGTAAGAGTCTATTTAATGTTACTTTATTGTGAATTAAGTGAATTTAATACAGTTACTGTTATGGCAAAAGCACTGTGACATGACATTGACTATGTTTTAGCTCAACTTTTTTTTGTGCAACGTGAATAAATGTTTTAATGATATTATACATTTTACATCAGGTGCATTTAGCTGTGAGTTTGTGATGTATTTTACATTTAATTTATATGTAGTTTACTAAGTTGCAAAATAACACTGATCCTCTTTGTTTAATATCAATACAGAGAAAACATCCTAATCAATTGAAAAACTACTCAAAATAAAAGTATTGCCCCCCTTTGAGACGGTGAGGTGAATCACGTGAAAGTCAGCTCTGTTTTTTTTACTACGTTTTTTTACTACCTCTTTTTTTCTAATTGTTTGTGCCATTTTGAAGATTTGAGTTTGAGACTTTTTGTTCTATTTTTTTATCATCTATTTTGTTCTGCCATTTTGAAACATTGAGGTGTTCAATTTAATTTCTATATTAGCAAATAAAACTTTTCTTGGTGTTCTTTGAGCCTACATTCAATTTAAGTTCTTTAAAAATCGGATACTTTAATACTTTTACTCAACTCTTATTGGAATTGGTGACTTGTAACTTGTAATGGAGTCATTTTTACAGTAAGGTATCTGTACTTTTACTCAAGTATGGTTTTCAGGTACTCTTTACACCTCTGGAAAGCACCTAATTTGTAATAGTTTTGTTTTTCAACATGATAATGATCCCAAACACACTGCTAACGTAATGAAATCATATTTGTAAACAGCTGATGAAACAAAGGTAGTCATGAAAGGGCCTCTCTCATGAAAGAGTCAAGACCTGAACATTTTATACAGTGTGTATAGGCAATATTATAGGCAGTGTTAGAGTCACCTAGAAAGAAAAAGAAAAAAGAAATCGAGCTAAATCTAAGCAGGAATTTATTTAAAAGTTTATTTATTTTATTTGTAACCCCATGGTGCCTCTAAAATATTTTATTTTACAGGTAATCCCATGGTGCCTCAATAATATTCAGGTCTGGACTCTGTGTAAGCCATTTCATTAATCTCAATGCTTACCAGCTGTTTTTTCTCTCTAAATAGGATTTCACTTTCACTATTCAGGTGAGGACTGATATATCATTATGTCTGCTCATTGTACAACTACTATAACAGCTTATTTTAATGAGGGCCCAACAATTCTTTACACAGTACTGTATATTTCTGTTTTAGCAATTCTTTTTTTTATTTTATTTGTAACCCCATGGTGCCTCTATTATATTTTATTTTACAGGTAATCCCATGGTGCCTCAATAATATTCAGGTCTGGACTCTGTGTAGGCCATTTCATTAATCTCAATGCTTACCAGCTGTTACTCTCTAAAACTCTCTAAATATGATTTCACTTTCACTATTCAGGTTTAGACTGATAGATGATTTTCCCTTCGCTAAGCCCCGCCCTTCTTAGTTACTGTTGTTACACCTGTTAAGCTTTCTTGCCTGGCATGTCTATTACAATATGTATGCACCAGTGTCAGTGTCACGATAATTAGTCATTTTTGGTGAACGGGAGAAACATTCGAAAAAGCTAGACAAAAAAAAAAGGACTGCAGTATGCATTACAGGGGTATATTTACAACATAATACACAACGATTTGAAAATAATTGAATCAAAAATGAAGCAAGGTTAGCCTAGTCGCCTCATAGGAGACGTGAAAAACAATCTAATAATAACAATTAAACCGTGATTTCTCTTTTTAGCCAAAAAGCCTGATAGATTAACCGTTGTGCAATGAAATCTAGCGCTACTAACCGACGAGGACACACGCATGGACAGAGCTTCTACATCATTCATTCATAGAAAGAACCGCCAGGAAGGGGAAATTGAAGGATTTTTGCTGCATATTAGCATCATTGACACATAACAATGTACAGTACCGATAACTGTCAGTATGTTTGGGTGCTTTTTATACCGTTTCTATTCTAATTTGCAGTTAAGTGAAAAAAATAATAAATTGAAATGCAAATCAAAGTGTAAATAGCAAAAAGATCAAACCCACTGTAACATCGTCATCAATGTCTAAATCTCTAAAAGAAGGACGAAAACAAGAGAATTGTAGCTCTGACATGGACATGAGGGATATGAATGACTGAAAATCAGCTGCGGGTGAAGTATATTGCTCGTAAGTGCTCAGTTTGTGATCACATCTCGGTTTTGTTCTGTAGATATCTACTTCCAAATATTCGTATCTTGAAACAGATGGAAATATGATTGCTATTAGTATGCCTACTATTGCGAGGGCTTAAACAGAGCAGTGCTCATAATATCGAGCGAAAAAAAAGGAAAAAGATAGCTGGGAAACATAACCTGCTTTGTATTTTTGTAAGAAACACAGTTTAGATCTGTTTAGGGTAAGAGTTGTGCGAGTTATTGCCGTCTATCACTGAATGTGTCAGGAATATCGAAAAATAAAAACTTAACTCCGCTCTTTCCGCTGGCTAAAACAGTTTAATTTAATGAGGGCCCAACCTTTTTTTTTATTTACACAATACTGTATATTTGTGTTTTTGCACTCACATGCGAGGAGATGCTGCTTCTGCGGCTGCTGCAGGCGGAATCCAGAGGCTCCAGTTTGCTGATCACTTCCTCCAGCTGACCAATCAGCTGCTGATGGGAGGTGGAGTTTAGCTGAGCTTTGAGGTGTTCAAGTCGATCAATGGATAGGGACTTCCTGGCCTGATGAGGAGAGTGAAAGAGAGAGTGTGAGAGAATATAATAAAATCCAGTGTAAAATGTAATGTCTAGTGCTAATAGGAAGTTAAAGGTGCTGTATATAAGTTTTTGAGTCTTTTAAAGCCTAAAAATACCATAATATGCATGCAGATATTTAAGAAACATGATAAGTCAACATACCTTATTTGAAAAACAATACTACATTGAATGTCTGTGTGTTTTGATCTTTATAACCAGCCCACTGCCATTTTAACCAATTAGATTTAAGCACCCCGGATTCTATTGGCAGAAAACAGCGTGTTTCATTTCAGTCTTGAAGGCCAAATCAATGTATGTGGATGTAGCCAAAAATGTGACGATAGTAGCAGCCTTCGAAATTAGATGAGGTTTTATAGTTATAAAAATCCACCAGGTGGTCTATAATTAGGTGATAATATAAATATTACAAATGTAAATACTTGCTGTCAATCTTAAGGCATGCTCACATCACAATCTGGCAACCTACACTTGCTTCGCATTGTCAGAGGAGGTGTCAGATAGAAAGCCAATACCCTCTCTGACGTTTTGAATTTGGATTGCAATACCTAGTTCAACCACTAGGTCAATACCGCACCATTTAACAGTTTGCATTTTGTGTTTTAAATGTGTTTTGTTTGCATGTGTACTTTGGATGTAGTAATAGCATGCTGAAACATGCAGCAGACAGTGGCGGCTATGGTCCAGTTCTCCCTTTTCATCAGTCGCTCCACACAGCGGTCCGGCGACACCAGCGACATGTGAGACAAACGTCCATCCCCGTGTAGACAAAACAGGTCATTACGGAAAACTGAGATCTCCAACACATCTGCAGAGAGAAGAGGAGAAAAGATTCAATTCATTTAATCATTTTCCTTCGGCTTCTTCTCTATTTTAGAGGTCGCCACAGCGGAATGAACCGCCAACTATTCAAGCATATGTTTTAGACAGCGCATGCCCTTCCAGCTGCAACCCATTACTGGGAAACATCCAGACACTCTCATTCACACACACACACACTACTTATACTGAATTCACCTTTAGCGCATGTGTTTGGACTGTAGGTGAAACCGGATCAGCCAGAGGAAACCCACGCTAACACAGGGGGAAGATGCAAACTCCACACAGAAATGCCAACTGGCTCAGCCGGGACTCGAACCAGCGACCTTCTTGCTGGGAGGTAACAGTGCTGACCACTGAGCCACCGTGCTGCCCCAATTCAACTCAATTCAATTCAAATATATCTGTATGCTCTTTGGGTAAAAGATTCATCAAAACAACAACAAAAATCAGTCCAAGGCACTCAAAAAATGTAAAAAGCCTTTATTCATGTATCAGGTTTAGCCATGTGAAAAAAGGCTTCTTTAATTTTCCACATTTATCGAGTGCCTTGAACTGATTTTTATATCAGTATAGCGCTTTTCACAATAATTATTATTTCTAAGCAGCTTTACAAAAGGTGCACATTGTTTTATTACAGTCAAAATCGGAAAAGTTAAGGTTATTAGTTACCTTAACTTAATTATCCGCTAATTACTTTAACTAATGAACTATTAACTAATAGCTTTAAACAGTTATTATATATAAGCATAGTTAACCTGTAGTTATACAGCATATAGGTGATATTAAGTGTATGATGAGGAGATTATACATCACACTTTTTAAGATGTATAAAATTAAGCTTATAGAGTACATATTACACAAATAAAAATATTCTACATTTACGTTTTTCATCTAATTAAGATGATTTAATTAATTAATTATATAGTTGCTAATTTTAAACAAAGTGGTTTTAAAAGGCAGACAACGATCCATGAACTAATAACATCATACAGGCCATACAGTATTTAAAAATATGTATATTATTAGTTTATTGTTGTATTTATTTAATAAATACTATAACTTATTATTTAAAATTTTATACAAAAAAAATTTATTTAAATTTTTATATAATAATAAATTATAATGAAGTATTATTTAATAATATTTATAGATAAAAATTCAATATTTTATTATAAAAATCAAAAATTTGATAGATTTCATAAAATAATAGGATTATTTTTATTATTAGTATTATTATTATTACAGCATTATTTTTAAAATATTATAAGTTGAAGTATTTTAATAATAGATTATTGAAATAATAAAGTTACACATTTATATAGATTATTACATATTAATACACAACATATAAACATTTGAAAAATGTTACTATACATACATGTTTGTGCAATTTCATATTTATGAACACTTTTTATAGGTTGATCACTACTCGTGACCTCTCACCTTTGACCTCTGTCCAGAGCAAAACCTGACCACTGTGTGGGGTGAAGATGTAGATGGCCGAATCCGTCCAGGTGAGCAGATTTTGATCACTAAAAAAGAAAGAAAGAAAGAAAGAAAGAAAGAAGTAAAGAAAGAAAGAAAGAAAGAAAGAAAGAAAGAAAGAAAGAAGTAAAGAAAGAAAGAAAGAAAGAAAGAAAGTAAAGAAGTAAAGAGAGAAAGAAAGTAAAGAAGTAAAGAAGTAAAGAGAGAAAGAAAGAAAGAAAGAAAGAAAGAAAGAAAGAAGTAAAGAAAGAAAGAAAGAAAGAAAGAAGTAAAGAAAGAAAGTAAAGAAGTAACGAGAGAAAGAAAGAAAGAAAGAAAGAAAAAAAAGAAAGAAAGAAAGAAAGAAAGAAAGTAAAGAAGTAAAGAGAGAAAGAAAGTAAAGAAGTAAAGAAGTAAAGAGAGAAAGAAAGAAAGAAAGAAAGAAAGAAGTAAAGAAAGAAAGAAAGAAAGAAAGAAAGAAAGAAAGAAAGAAAGAAAGAAAGAAAGAAGTAAAGAAAGAAAGTAAAGAAGTAACGAGAGAAAGAAAGAAAGAAAGAAAGAAAGAAAGAAAGAAAGAAAGTAAAGAAGTAAAGAAGTAAAGAGAGAAAGAAAGAAAGAAAGAAAGAAAGAAAGAAAGAAAGAAAGAAAGAAAGTAAAGAAGTAAAGAAAGAAAGAAAGTAAAGAGAGAAAGAAAGAAAGAAAGAAGGAAAGAAAGAAAGAAAGAAAGAAAGTAAAGAAGTAAAGAAAGAAGTAAAGAAAGAAAGAAAGAAGTAAAGAGAGAAAGAAGGAAAGAAAGAAAGAAGGAAGAAAGAAGAAAGAAAGAAGGGGAAGAAGAAAGAA